ATTTTCAACATCTCTAGAACTTTTAGGATAGTACTGGCACATGAAAGTATGATTTCAATGGAACTCTGGGCAAAATTATTTTACTCTTTTAAAAATGAGAAAAATAATTGATGGGTAACATTGAAGGAGCAATGGTATATAATATACATTAGAAATGGTAATAGAACATTAAGAGCTTTTTTTTTTTTAGTGTGTGTGTGTGTGTGTTTTCCCTTCTCCTTCTTTTCCTTCTTTTCCTTTGTTAAGTTAGCCGAGCTTTTTTTTTTTTAGTCTTTTCAAGCTATACAAAAAAATCCTCCACTGAATTGGTAGTCTTGCTATTTTTATTTCCACACATGAAAATTCCTAATAGAAAAATTTACTAAAGTGTCTAGATCAATTACAGGGTCCATCTCTAAAGGAGTATTTATTTCCTTTAGGGGTCAACTGTCTCAATGATACAAGGAGGATTTACACATGCAAGTCCTATTAACATTAATAGGAGTTACCCACATAAATCCCCCTGCAGTAATAAGCAAAAAGACTAGTCTACTGGAATCCAAGTTCTAATGATTACCTGTCAAATGACCCTAAGAGTCATCATCACCAGAAAGAACAGAGGTAGCAATTTGTATGGGAAGGGCATCTCTTTGCAGCCCCACAACTAATCTGTGCATTAATGGAAAGAAAAATGGCCTTCAAAATGTAACTCGGGATGCAAAGTGTTAAACCATTTAAATGGAATTTTTTTTTCAAGCCATCATTGAAGAGAATTCAAACATCAAAGCACTTGTTTTTTATAAAAAGAAACGTGAATATTATATGAGCTCTAAGGTGCTTGAAGGATAATAAGGTTACTTGTTTAAAAATTCAATTAACCTTCTCTTTCTTAAACCTGATTTATTAATAAACTCACAGATAAATTGACATTTTTGAAACAGTCCTGTTATCAACTGGATTCATCTGGTCTTAAGAGTTTTAGAAACTACCTGAAACTAACAGAAAAACTTACTGTGCTTTAAATATTTGATTAAAGAATAAATCATAGTTCAAGAATGATTTTTGTATAAAAAGTACATCAATAATCTCTTGTTCATTGCACGCAAGCTGCTGGCGTCTCAATCACCACAAAGGAAAACATTTCAAGCTCTCATTCACCAAGTAACATGGAAAACATTTCACATTCTCATCCAATGAGATGTGAAAACAGTTTGTAGGCAATTAATGTACTTTAAGTTATAGTCCATGTCTCACAGCCTCCAAAGCACTGATTTCAAACAGAATAATATCCCGTCCACCTTTGCTTGATATTAACATCAATGCTGGAATCTAGAAGAGTCCACCAAATACAGCATACTTGTGTATCACTTAATTCGTTTTCCACAAATTTGACACAGTTGACAGATGTGTGGAAACAAAACAAATGTGCAGCTGGACAATTAACTATGTACTTAAATAACTGACTAAAAAAAAATCAGTTCCAAGACAATCTTTAATTTCTTGGCATATATACAAAATCTAAATATTGAACAAAAAAGGATACTATAGTGGAAATGCATTGAGAATAGGCTTTTCTTTATTTCCTCTGAGCACTTACTGTTAACTGTGCAAATTATGAATAATCACATATTCATGCTTTGTGAAATACATATGAGAAAACTGTGAATAAAAAGAGAAACTACTCACTACCAGTAGCAGTAAATAACTTATTTGCAAGAAAACTGCATAATTCCTGTTTTAAAGGATCACTATTTTAGCGATCAAATGTCAACTAATTTTTTTGAGGTCCTTTGGACCTTAAACACAGGGCTGCCAACTTGGAAACTGTGACTGCAATGATAGAAGTTAATCATTAACATAGTCTTTCATTTAGACAAAGGGACAGCAATCTCATAAACTATGCCCTTGCTGGAATTTAGTATTAATGTGGTCATTTTACTATATACAACTAAATATTACAAGAGATGGGACAAAATTAAAAATGTTAGTATTCCTATAGAAAAATATATAAATTGACCTTTACAATATACATTTGTTTTTCTGGGCAGGCACATCAGCTAGGAAAAAAATATAGTAGCAATGCAGGATTAATAACTGGTTTTCATGGTGATCACTAAGCTGAATGACATTATCATTTTTGGCTAAGAAGAAGCATGTATAACTAAACAGTGTAAACATATGAATCAAGATTCTTTTATAAGAATAATTTTCAAAATCTTAAATTAGTCACTGAAATGTCTGCATCACATACAAGGTACTAATTTACTCACATGACTTTGAGCTTAAGATTTTGCAACAAAACCAAGTTATTTATTTTTCTGTTACTTGATACTATAAAACAACTATTTATTTGTAGTAATTAAGATAGCCTGAGGCAACAGAAAGGATCTTAAGTTCCCTAACACAAGTTTTTTTTTTTTTTTTAAAAAAAAAACAGTTGTGTAACATAATCATCACTAATCATATTCAAGAGCTTTTTAAAACACATTTCAACAGTATTTTATAAATAATCTGGAAGAGATTCTCATGCTGGATAATAGCTGAAATAGAGTACAGTACAGCTGGGCATAAACCCACAAAGTATCTCTATCATTGTTCTACTTACAGATAGCAGCAGTAAGATTATCAGAATTTTTCTAGTTATTTTGGTCTTACCTTTGATATGTTTACATAAATGTGCATGCTGCATGCAAGAGGCCTTAACTCTAAAATTATAACAAAGAACAATATCTTAATTGGTACAATTTACTACAACTGTATTCAGACACAATACTCATATATAGTGGATCTGTTTATATTGCTGGTACTGAGGGGCAAGGACCAATATTCGGTGCTTTTAGAGATGTATCTGGCATATGGTAGTTGGGTATCAGGAACCATGATTTGAGTTAATAAAGATCTGAATCCATATAGCAATGTACTTTATGATGATATTCCATTGCCCCTGATGTATATAATATTATAAAAGGGGAATAGAGGGAAAGAACGGATTAAAGGAATAGGGAAGAGGCTGTAGGCTAGGAGGAGGAGTCAGGAGCAGGTTGAAGGGCTGTGAAGTTTTTCCTTTCTCATGGATTCAGCTATATCTGAATGGATTCCAGCAGTGGCTGGAAAGGTGGAGCAAATGCTACATTTCTTGGTCCTTCTCATTTTCCATGAATCTGTAACCAACCAGAGTTAACTGCCTTTAAGATTTTCCCTGAAACCTGGAGAGACCAGGCACCAAATGCCACCGAGGTGTGAGGGTAAGAACTATGTGCTTTCCACTGTAACATGGCTCTTTGACAGGCAGTAGGTCAGACTGCATGAACATAAACTACAAGTTCTTTGCACTAAAATTTTCAATTCCAAACTACAGCTCACAAAAAGTAGACCATCAGATCTTGTCATATGGAAAATTTGTAATACAGTACTGTTACTGTAACTGGATTTGCTGCCTATGCATGTTGTTTTTATGTGCTGTCGAGTCAGACCTGACTCATTGCGACCCCTCCTTTGGTTTCCGAGGCAGTATCACTACAGAAGTAGATTGCCCAACCTTCCTTCTGAGGAGTGGCTGGTGGGTTTGGACCGCCAGCCTTCTGGTTAGCAGTCAAGTGCCCTAGGCACTATGCTACCAGAGCTCCCAGCCCTAACATTTTTAACTATGTTTTAGGGTTTAAGAATTGCTATCTTCTATTCAGAATCATTGGTAGTTTCAGGTTTACCTACTAATAAAGGAGTATGAAGAATTTATAATATTTTTCTTAGTAAGATTTAAAAGCCACAATTTCATGTGTTACTAAGTTTACTGATCTATGAGAGTATAAAACACTAAGAAACACATTTTCATTTGAAAAGCTTAATGTAGAGCATATGTAAAAACATGATGTTCTATTTTGTCAAGGTTACTAAAAAACAATTATTTGCTACATGAGATATTTGATATCCATCCCAAAATCAATGGAAGAATTGTAAACAATTTTTCTTTTAGAAAAACCACTCCAAGTATAGGACTGCATTTAATTTAATAATCATTCACAACATTAGGCAAACTCAAAAAAACTCACTGCCGTTGAGTCAATTCCGACTCATAGCGACCCCTCCTTGGGTTTCCCAGACAGTATCTCTACAGAAATAGATTGCCCAATCTTCCTTCCGAGGAGTGGCTGATGGGTTTGAACCATTAGCCTTCTGGTTAGCAGTCAAATGCCTTAGACACTAGGCCACCAGAGCTCCTCCAACATTAGGCAAGGTACTACTATTTCCATTTTATATATGGAGAAAGTGAGATTCAAAAGTTAAACAATTTGCCTAATATTAGTAGCACAGTCAGGACTAAATTAGGTTCATAAACCTAGTTCTTTTCATTACTGAACTTTCCTAGTGAGTAAATTACTTCATATACAAATATCACTACTAATATTTAAAAAAACACTGCTAGGTAACAGACTCATGGTTTATGTATAAAAATGTTTAAAAACCTTAATATGTACATTTTCAATGCATCTCAAGATAAAAAACAAATCCCTGTTCCAAACATAGGCTCCTGCCTGGATCATGGTATTTTGGTTTTTTCCAACTGCATTTATATATGTTGCTACCATTTATTTAATGTCAAGATGTTCACACCTATTATGGATTGAATTGTATCCCCCAAACACCTGTTGAGAATCCTAACTTCTATACTTGTGGTTATAATCCCATTTGGGAACGAGTTTTCTTTGTTATATTAATGAGACAGTATTAGTCTGGGTGTGTCTTAAGTCAATTTGTTTTGAGATTAAACAAGCAATCCAGCAAGCAGGGACAGAGGAAGTCAGATGCCATGCTACAGGAAGGTCACTAAGGAGCCAAGGAATAGAAGCTGAAGAGACAAGGACCTTTCCCCAGAGCCAACAGAAAGAGAAAGCCTCCCACTACAGCTGTGCTAGATTTGGGACTGCTATCCTTATAAACTGTGAGAAAATAAATTTCTGTTTGTTAAAGTCACCCACTTGTGGTACTTCTGTTATACAGCACTAGATAATTAAGAAAATATTCAAAGAGAAAATTGAATTCTAAAAATTAAAGAAATATGTGAGCTAATTCTGAAGATGTGGCTTTTAAACAAATATCCAAAGTGGCAAGCAAAAGCCGTTCTAAAACCACAGAATTATTAACAATGCATAGGATCATTTCAAAATTCATAGCTGTACTCCTGGTAGTCAATACATTTTTAATTTTTATAAGCTAATTCCAAAGGTTTGATATCTTAAAGCAGACATGTCAATGTGCTTTATATGTGTTATGTGTTTTCCCTATAAGGAAAAACCTCCTTTGGATTCCTATGACCTGTCTCTATTTGTAATTTTGCATGTTAATTGGCTAATGCTTTTTCACTTTTTTTTTTTCAAACAGTTCTTCCATCAAGATTCAAGTTAGGAGACATTTCCAAAGCAGGGTACCCAATCTGGTGTTATTCAGAGGGCTCCTCTGGGTTTCCCAGGTATGGGCTTTCCTTGGAAGTCTCTGAGTTTGCCTCTAGTATGGAACTCGATTCTGAAGCCTCTGGTTGTAAACTGTCTCCATCAAGGACAACGTCTTCAGGATTTGGTGGAGGTGGACAGAAGTCTTCATTGGGGCAGATTTGCTGGAAAAGTGCTTCAGCCTTGTCAGGAAAAAAAAAAAAAAGACACAGAAGTTTTTGGATATCAACTTTACATATATGTGCAATTTGACATTATTTAGAAAAAATTAAATCATCACGCTTACAAATTTCTTTTAAGTTACAGTATTTTACCAGTATACATGACCTTCTGAAGATCTGCCTTCAGAGTTCCATGACTTCTTACCCTCTAATTCTATACATGCATATCTGGTCCACTATTCAAGGATGTCAGCATTTGGTCAGATTTTTTATAAAGTGTTCAAATTGTTAAGAATTTAAGGGCATTCATTCTACATATCAACAGAAATAAAGATTCCCTTAATATTCATTACACAATTTCCCATAGAGACTATTTGTGTTATTCATATTAGTCTAATTTAGCTTATAGTCAATTTAACAAGTTACTGCTCAAATCATGGGGGATCAAATGGGGGAGCTCTGGTGGTATAGTGCCTAAGGCATTTGACTGCTAACCAGAGGGCTAGCGGTTCAAACCCACCAGCCATTCCTCGGAAAGAAGGCTGGGCAATCTACTTCCATAGTGATACTGCCTCGGAAACCCAAGGAGGGGTCACTATGAGTCGGATCCAACTCGACGGCAGTGAGGATTTTTTTTGTTTGTTTGTTTTTTGGCTCAAATCAAGAAAAGTTCTCATTATTTGCTCAACTATTTGCTTTTCTGGTATTATTTTCTTCCCTACTCAGGCTTTAAGGGATATATAGCACATGTTTAAGATTGAATAAATAGTACAAATTCCTTTTATTTGGATGAATATAGCTCACTGTTAATAAGAGTGCCATTCTATGGAGATTTTACTTTGTCCTACGGCTAACAAGCAATGTTGTGTCCTCTCTTTAAAGTGTTAAGCAAAGATGTTACCTTGAGGACTTAGGTGCTTCTCACTCAAGTCATGGTATTTTCAACTGCCTCATATGCATGTGAAAGCAGGACAATGAATAAGGAAGACTAAAGAAGAATTGATGATTTTGAATTACGGTGTTGGCAAAGAATATTAAATATACCCCGGACTGCCAGAAGAACACAAAATCTGTCTTGGGAGAAGCATACCCAGAATGCTTCTTAGAAGTGGGGATGACAAGATTTCATCTCATGTACTTTGGACATGTTATAGGAGGGACCATTCCCTGGAGAAGGACTAACACAGCAGTTGCAACAAAAGGCTCAAAAATAGCAG